AGTCTTCGAGTCTTCATAACATGATGTGCTAAGCATATCTCTCGTCTGGTTTATTGGTTGACCGCTACGACACATACTATATAAGGTACAAGAACTGGCAAACCTCCACTATATGGGCTGCACTGGTCTAATGGATTTCCTCATTCTCGATATTTGAGCCTCTTTACCTTGTAAACTTCTCGTCGCCTTGCCCTACAAATTTTTCTTCTCGCCTGAAGACGAAAGCGTAGTCTGCTTTACGCGACTCATCGCCGTTAGATCGAATGCAAATAGGTTACGAATAAGATCCGAAACGACTCTGCTCGCAGGGTAGCGTGCGAAAGATCTTCATAGAAATCGAGTTTTTTTTTCATTCTGAAATACAAACGCACAACATGCATGTAAACTATCGGAGGGTGTCCTATAACCGAAATTTTCCGGCATTTCCTTAAGCTTCTTTCTTGCCCTCCCAACTTCACCCGTACATCGATTATTCACAATAGAACATGAAACTGTCGTTAAGTATTTTGCTCATCACGCGTTTTCAACTTCCGGTGGATTCATACGCCATCTGTAATAGTGTAAAGAGGTTTGAGTCACTAAAGGAGATGACTGTAGGGCTAAGGTGCGCGTCTGAATTGCAGTTGTTGTCAAAAAAAAATGGGTTTCCTAATAATTTTTAAATTACAAATCCAAACAAAGAAGAAGTCAATTCGTAGCATCACTGATACTTTTATTTATCTTTATCATAATCTAATATGCTATATAGCACTAAGTATGGTTTTAAACATTTATCAAATTTTCATATTGTACATTTAAAATGTATTGTACCATCATTCAACCTAGGACGCTTTTCCCTTCAAAAGTGGAAGGACAGACAAAGACCCTTTGTTGGCTGGTACGTTCTGCTATTTCATTGGTCCCCTGATAATATAAACCAAATAAAGTAATTTAGTAAGAATAAATTTCGATGGAGAAAATGTCGGCGACGTACAACCCCCAAAAAGATTTCTGCTCAAAATTCTTTGAGGAAATTGGATTTGTTTTAGTTTATTTCTTGTTTGTTTCTTNAAAAAAAATCGGTTTCCTAATAATTTTGAAATAACAAATCCAAACAAAGAGAAATCAATTCGTAGCATCATTGATACTGTTATTTATCTTTATCATAATCTAATATGTTATATAGCACTAAGTATGCTTTTAAACATCTATCAATTTTCATATTGTACATTTAAAATGTATTATATCATCATTTAACCTAGGACGCTTTTCCCTTCGAAAGTAGAAGGACAGACAAAGACCCTGTGTTGGCTGGTACGTTCTGCTATTTTATTGGTCCCTTGATAATATAAACCAAATAAAGAAATTCAGTAAGAATAAATTTCGATGGAGAAAATGTCGGCGACGTACAACCCCCAAAAAGATTTCTGCTCAAAATTCTTTGAGGAAATTGGATTTGTTTTAGTTTATTTCTTGTTTGTTTCTTTGTTTGTTTGTTTGCATTTCACTATTTTTTTCTCCCTGGCTTTTCCCGCCCTTCCGAAACTTTCAAAGGAAAAGGCGGCCTCGGGACAAGTTTGGAGTGTTCTATTTCCGAACGCGGGGAAACTCCCTTGAAATAAAGCGCCTCTTTACGTTCTAATATGCAGGAGCTTGTTATTTGCATAAAGGATAAAGGTTAATCCGAGTAACTGCATTGTAACTAATTATATATAGGAAGGAAAAGGAAAGGAAAATTAGCGATATTACATTTCGGTATTATTTTATATCATCTTCAGACTCAATTATACAAGATTCATCGCCTGGTAGATTTACTAACTAATTGAACCAAATCGTTCTCTACCGAATCATGTAGACTATTAACTAACTAACACGTTGAGTGCTAGAAAATCGCAATGCCATAATCGCACTCAAGATGGTATAACATGACTATAAATTAAATCGTCAATTAACTTAACATCAATTTTAGTCACCTACTCTGAAACTTAAGAAATAGGCAATAAAACACCAGATATACTTTTGTTCCTAGAGCACAGCGTCTTGTTTATTTTCCTTTAAACTACAATGAGATCGCGATTTCTCGAACCCTCACTTTCTGAAACCTCCCGATAACTGGAACCAAAAGTCGTTTCTCACTCCTCACCCGAACACTCTACCTTTACCTCCGATTTCTCCAACCGTCCGATTTTTCGCTCTAATTTTTGTTTCCATTGGAGGCTCGAAAAATCGGAATTTCATTGTATGTTCATCTGCTGTACGTCAGACTTTCTCACGACGATAATTGTTTTGTTCTCTCATCGTGCTCGTTCGTCTATAAAATGTGGGGTTAATGTAATGTTTGAAAACAACAAAGCCGGGCAGAGAAACTGGAATAGCTTTTTATAGTCTCTGCATTACATGTCACGAAGAGGAACTGCAACTTGTCTTTGTTGCTGAGGTTGTTTGCGGAAGAGTGCAAGTAAAGCTGATCTGTATTCTGGCATGCGGATAGTATATAATATAGGATTTACAAGAGAGTTTGCAAAAAATAACACAAGCAATGCACACTCTAAATGAAAACCCACTGAAAAGGACAATATTTTAAATTTAGTGATGAAAAGGACATAATGGAATATAAGCAATGGCAGGCACAGCAGAAGAGACACAAAAGTCACAATGAACAATGTCATGGTCAGTTTTCTTTCTATACTGGTTGCATCATGGTGTTGAGGCTGCGCTCCACAACGGACTTTAATAGCAATGGACGTGTAAGAAATAAAAATAATCAAAAGACAAATAAGGTAAAAAGTAGTCCTTAAGTAAACATGATGATTTAATTTACTAAAAAGTGCAAGAAGTACGTAAGTAACTATTACCAGCCCAGCTGTGATCCAACCAACGGCAATTATAACTCCGTAGAGCCATTTTTTGAGCAATCGATGTTTAAAGGGTCGGTACGTTGCGTGCACCCGCTCTAAAGCGATAATTGTCATGTTTGTTAACGAACTAAGAGGGAAAAAAACCGAGAATACTTGTAGTATATTGAGCGTCCACTTTCCAATTGAACGCCACGTGAATAAATTACAGTGTACCCCAGACCAATAGAACATAGTATACACAACAAATCCTCCAACAAACATATCTACAACTGCCAAATTTATCACCAGGTACGTGCTACGCTTGCGGAGATTACGGTTTCTTATAAACACAATTATCGTACAGAGGTTGAGTGTTACTATAGCAACACTCTCGGCTAAGCCTACAGTCATCCAGGGTATGCAGTCAGATATAGACAGCATCTCAAAGCTCTGTCCTTTTCGTATTACTGTTAGAAGTAATTACTCGTCCCCCTGTCGAAAGAAATGAATTATTATTGCCTGGTTCTTTTTCTGCTTATGTAAGACATGCAATTGCCAGGGAAGAAAAGCTTGCATAAATGTGCAGATTTTATTTTCGAGAGCATGCGCTGTAATTCCTAGGCTT